GTATGAAACACAACAATCTCTTGCATAATATAGGCAGCCTAGCTAGGCATTTACATAGGCCTAATCTAAGCTTCCTAGGGGAAGGCCTGCATTGTCATTACTGTTGAATATTTTCCTGACAGTCCATTCATAGATCGCAGCTTAAATGCTTAAACAAGAAAAAGTCAAGCCTTTATATAAATAGAAAAATAAATTTTCACCTGGTAACTACAGACCTCCCAAGTTCCCAGAAATTTACGTGTTTCCCAGATTTTTATGGAGGATCCCCGCTTCCCAAAATTTTTACAGTTTTTCCCAGAAAATATAGAATTGTCATTGTGAATATTGAAATGGCACTTTTTTCTCTTCCAAATAATTAGGTTACTTATAATTTAAACAACGTATGGCTTTGCACCACCACCTAAGTTCATTAAAACCTGAAAATGACTTATTTTGCTTATTGTTTGCACTTACAAAAAAGGACTCATTATTATTTCTGTTAAATATTTGTAATGGCTTTTGGTAATGGCATGACACACATTAAATTAATATGTCATACATGTAGTCAATAAACCAAAAAAATATCCCTAGAAATTTCACTTCAATTAACGACAAATTACCCAGAAATTTCACTTCACCAACTTGGGACCTCTGTAATTACTGTCAGTGCTCTTCCGACAATCTACAAAATTCTCGAGAAATCTGTGTTAATTCAGCTTAATGAATATTTAGAAAGCAACGATTTATTTTATGCAATCCAGTCAGGGTTCAGAGGGGTTTTGTCAACTGACACTTGTCTCCTTTATACTCAGGACTACTACATTCGAAAGCAAATTTCCGCAGGAAACTTTGTCGGTATGGCTCTATTGGATATTCAGAAGACATTCGACAGCATTGATCATGTCGTTTTGTGTGGCAAGTTAGAGGCTCTTATTGTCCTTTCTATCAATTGGTTCCGCTTCTATCTTCACTATTGACAACTTGCCTACGACCAGTTGTTGATGATTCCATGTCTTTACATCCTGAAAAAAATGAGTTTATTATTTTCTCATCTAGGAAAAAAGATTTCTTGCTGAAAACTGTAGTATCTTTTGCAATGGTCCAGAAAACCATTTGTTTTGTTTTCGTGAACAATGGCTTTTGTTTTAGCCTCTCACTAGCAGTCTTCTAATTGGTCAGTTTATCTATCCAATCACCATCCAGCTTGTGTTTTAGCCTTTCACCCATTGGTCAGTTTACCGCCATCCAGCCTCTCTATGCAAACATATAAGTATTTCCCTGTTTGGAGTGTCTGCAGATATTATTCTCCTGAAGACGATTGAAGCATCTTAATCGAAACGTCGAGACTTTTTCAACAACAGTTCTTTTCAGAACTACTTACGTGGTGTACCGCAAGCTTCAATATATATAATAAAATTTGTGTTGTAATATTTAATCATACTGTACTTGATAAAACAATTTTATACAGTCTTAATAATACAATTTGTATTCACCTTAGACTCACTTTTTACACTTGTACAATTTTTACTTAGATTGTCCGCTGCCAAAATGGAGTCCCCCTGAATGTGAGATTGATTGTCCTGTGTGTTATAACGGTGGAGTCTGTGACGACAAGACCGGTCTGTGTATTTGTCCCGCAGGCTTCAAAGGAGAATACTGCCAAACATGTAAGCCAACAAACTTAAATTTAATTTAATTCAATTTACCTTTAAGTACTCGGAAACACATGTTTCTATATATTTATATATTTCAATAGTAAATATATGGGAAATCTTAAAATAATAAAGTCGTCAGCCTAAAATTGTATGTGTTTTTTTCATAAAATATGTTATGTTTCGGTATTTACGGTTTATACTTTCTTTTTGTTTGTGTAGCTTGTGGAAGCAACAACTGGGGTCGTAATTGTGATGTTGTTTGTTCTACAGGAGATGACGAAGGTTGTAAAGGAAAGCTTTTTTGTCCGCCTGATCCTTTCGGATGCACCTGCATCGACGGATACGGAGGCAACGATTGCAATACAGGTTCAAAAGTTTTTGGCCACTGTTTATAACTATTTTGTTCTTTTTGTTTATAAATGATGTCAATATTACTGGATAATGCATATACAGGCTTTATTTTATTTTACGCTGTCGAACCTATAAAACGTGAAAGTGTGATGAGTCATTCCAAAAATCAGCACAATGGAATTGAAAACTCATGAATGAAGGAAGACAATTGTATAAAAATGCTTTGCACAGACCCAGGGCACAAACAAGTAACAGCAATAAGGTTGTACTCTGCATATTTTAATTGAACAAGATGAATAAAAACTGTCGCTCGTATCGTATGTTCATACAACATTAAATATATGGTACTAATCGACTAACAATGTGATTATCCCAAACTGTACTATTTCACAGAATGTGATAACAATCACTATGGAGCAGATTGCCGTCAAGTATGTCACTGCGATTCAGGAGGATGTGACAGAAAAACAGGGGATTGTACATCTGGGTCATCTTGTTCGACTAATTACACAGGACCAGCGTGCCAAGGTAATATTCAGATTTTAGTTGTCAAATGTATAGGAGGCAATCGCCGTCAAAATACAAAAGTGGAACGAACAGCGAACATTCACAAACCAACAACAAACATTCACAAACCAACAACGTATTTTCCCAAACGAACAACGTACTTTCTCAAACAATCTATTTTCCCAAACAACATACTTTTACAAACGATCATGTTTCACAAACTAACAACATACTTTCCCAAACGAACTCTGTATTTTCACAAATGTGCAACTAGATACTGTACTGTTATCAGGAAGTTAAAAATAGGAGGCAGCAATTCGGAATCTAACCGAAGCAGTTTGACTATTAAATCTTGCAGTTGAACTTCCGAATCAACCCAGGAATCATAATATTTTGGTTAATGCTTGAATATTTGCATTTATGCTAGAACTCATAGGCCTATTTATGTATAGGCCCTTGGTTTTCATTGAGTTTTTGAGATTTTTTAAAATATTGTAGGTCCTATAGGTAGACCTATGCAGTCACAGGCCCATCCGACTTTGGTAATGGGAGTGGAGCGGGTTGTCATTTTTAATCTGGGTGGAACTTTCGGGCAACAGGATGCCGATCAGGAGTGGCGCCAGGATTTGCCCGATGCGAGAGCTGAGGTCCCCGACAGGGTAGCCGATGTCCCAGACGTGAGGAAAGTGGCCGCAGTGGTGCGTCGCTGAAAATCCTTCAAAAGTAGCCCATAAAAATGTGACAATTTAGTGGTTTCAAAAGCTTATTTAATCGTTTTTAAACTCTACTATACATTTTTTTTCCCTTCTAGACGAATTATGGTTTCTCCCTGTTGTGTTTTCTATTGGTCTAGTAGAGGGGAATTCCCTATTCTGTTGGGAGATTGTCTGAACCCCGATCCTCCCGCCGCCCCACTGATTACGGGCCTGAGTGGCCCACTCTGATTGGCAAAGGTCTTTTTTTCACTTAAGTACAGATTCGAGAAATACCACTTCTGAAATTAACAATAAAATTCTACTCAAATTTAAGTCTAAGGGTGCCATTTCAGGCCTTCCAGAGGTGCCATAATCATAACTTTTCTTACCAACATGGTTGGGGCTGAGGTAGATAATAATAATAATAATAACAACTTTATTTACAAACGAAGAAACTTTTTCACAAGGCCGTTTTTTATACTATATTTTTCATGATCTGGTGAAATTGGACACTCTGTCATTGATTAAATTACTCCTCTAATACAGTAAAATATCGGGGGGGCACCAGGGATCTGCCCCTCGATCCAGACCCCAACCAATGGGCCCGGGAAGTGAAGATGCCCCAAAGGTACCCCTCCTAGACCGTACGGAAGGTCTTCCCCCTGTCGGTGAGAAAAACCACAATTCGTTGAGGAGAAAAAAAAAGTTATATCTATTTTTCACATATATATTTATTCCAAAATCAATTAAAAAAGCCTTTGAAACCCCTAAATTCTGATATTTTTGGCTGGCTTTGCCCCTGGACCAATTTCTATAGCTTTTTAGCATTGTCCAACTATGCCTACTTTTCCCCCGACGGGGGTCCAATACTTTTTGGTGGCTGTACAGGTGGGTGGGGGTTGCTAGGGGGCTACAGCCCACCTCCGACATTTTAAATTTTCATTAGCCATATTTTGAATTTAAAGAAAGAAAATTCTAGGACTAAGAATGCATTAAATCTAACCTAAGTATAATAATTTTCCCCCAGTGTACGATGCATGCTCTACTAATTGCTATATAAGTCAATCGCCATCTTTTAATGTTAGTTTTTATAACCAACTGTGTTGTACCAGTTGCTATAGTGATATGATCAGTATACTGTGTGCGTATTTATATTTTGTGCGTATGCTGATTTTTGCTCCTACAGTAGGCAGCGCTGACGCATTAACTACACATCAACAGTACTGTACGGATACGATGAATAACTATACCTTTACCTTGATTTACCTTGATCTTGAAGCTAAAGCATTAATGCTTATTTGCCCCTCTGTCTAAGTCTCTTACATATGGTTTAAACTTCTGGTTCTGGTGGTGATTTAGCCAGTGTTCTTCGAGCCTTGATTTAAATTGATTGACTGTGAACCCACAGCTTCAACTGACATATTCCAATCGTTAATCACCTTGTACTAAAGCTTTGTTCTCCCCACTTAGTTTTAACTTTTGGTTTCTTTAATTTCAGTGAATGTCCCCTAGTAACAACAGTTGATGACAATTCAAAAAAATTACCAACTTCCAACTTATCAAAACCATTAAAAATTTTTAAAAAATTGGATAACTGATGCTCTCCTTCTTCTATAAGCTAGGGTTGGAAGGTCTGTCTTGTTAGCCTATTCTCATAATCCAGTCCCCTCAACTTGGAAATTAATCGAGTAGCTTTTTGTTGTAATTTCTCTAAGCTATCTTCATCTTCAAGGAATCTAGACACCCAAACATTGTTGCAATATTCTAATGAGATGAATTAATGACTTATACAATAACAAATAGCTATCTCAATCCAAACGTTTAAATAAACGATGAATAATTCCCAATTTCTTATTCGCCATCGATATTACATGTTGAGACATGAGACCGGAAATTCAACCTATTATCTATAACAACACCAAGATCTTTCATTTCTCTAACAGCTTCTAATTCATTCAGTCCTATGTACTCCACCAATGTAGTACCATGGAGGAATTAGTTTAGAGTACTTAAAAGATGGAGGAGGAGGAGGAGGAGTTTATGTCCTACATACAGTATGTGTATGCATGCACGGAAATGCTTATGCATGCTTATAAATCAAATAGAAAAATTAAAAATAATACTGTAATTACACAACAGCACAGATTAAACTTAAGCTACAAAATTTTAAATAAGTCACATCTCCGTTTCCATAGGTAGAAAACACTACCTATTGTTTCAGCCTACGGGTAATACAGTAAACTTTTCTTTAAATGGTCCTCATATCCACACCATGCATCGGATCATGACCAAAATTTAAACACTTCTTTATTAAAACGTGACAAACTATTCTAGAAAGCGTCATTTTCAACCATTTATCCAATCAAGTGATATTTAGGTCTGGGTCCTAATGGCCCTCACATGTACCCCTGTATTTGTATGGTGACCTGCACGTCACAATCCTTGTAACTTGGTTTCTCAAAAGTATCAATCATGTCATTTGATTATTTATTTTAATATAGTATCTGGTCTGGGATGTTTTCCTTTAAATGGTCCTCATATGCACACCCTACGCCGGTTGGTCACCAAAATTTAATCACTCATCCTTTGGTTATACCTAACCCCCGGCGGGGCCCCCAGCCCCCCTCTGGCACCACCCTTGTGTCTGGGACCCTCACACACAGGCTAACATTAAGAAACTGGAGTTCATCCAATGTAAAGCAGTATGCTTCATAATGAACGATTATGGCAGATTATCCAGCATCACAAAAATGTTTAGGCAGCTCGGCTGGGACCTTCTGTAACATCATAGGGCCAATGCAAAAGTCAGCATGATGTACCCGATGACCAATGACCTGACCTGCATCCCTCTTGATCAACTCAATCCATCCACTTTCCGCACCAGAGGTCACGACAAGAGACTCGTTATACCAAAAACCTGTACAACATTAAGGAAGTGCTCGTTCTTTTAAGACACCATCCATCTGTGTAATAGTCTACCTCAACATGTTGTTGATTCACCATCTATCGACACATTCAACGACAGGGTATCTGATATTCACATCCGTTGACTTTCTTAAGTGAACATAATTGACCACCAGAACGCTGTGCGAATATACTCATACGAGGTTTATGCACATTATAGGATGATGATGATACTGTATATAGATGATAATGATGACGATGATGATGATAATGTGATTTACTAAGTCGGGACATATTATGTCATTGATATATTTGTTATAGGCGTCTTTGCAGCACCTAAATCTTGCCCATGACCGCGCTTTATTGTAGGCCTTTTTTTTCCTACTGAGTTATTTGAACTCACTGCCGGAAACATTTGCGCCATATGCCATGCAGATTTCATCCCCTTATTTTTATGCCCTCTTCGTTAACTTTGTTTAAGTCAGCTTGACGCAGGGTTCCCGGAATGCCGCCCTCAGCGACGTGTGCGAAGCAACTCAGACTCAGAAGTGGAACGTGAATTTCGATTTGGTTTTGTAGTCAGATTTTCGAGAAAAACTTCAGCTACCCGTATTTCTCGATTGAGACGTCAATGGGAGCTGTAATTTGTATGTCAAGTAGATGGTGCTACCCTTAATTTGTATTAAGGGAATTTACGCCCACCAACCTTGTAGTTATTAATATTTTGGTTATAATAGAAAATTTTTATTTTTTGGTGACGTCACACTCACGCTAAAGTTAGCATGTATACGTCATAAGCTAGATTACGTCACCTTTTCCTGGTAAAGCAAACTTTCCCGGCGTGCTTTTTTCATGGATAAACAAACACCACTGCTTTGCACATGAGTACCTTGTCTAGCTATGGCTACATGAGCCGCATAGTTAGCATATAATACTTAAACAATTAAGGTACGTCTGCAACTGAATTATTCTTAGGCCCTAGTTAATTTTTTTTTTTTTTTTATTTATTTCTTTCGAAAGTGTACTTTCTATCACATAAAATTGCACTGTTTACTTAGGCCTAGTAGTCATATTATGCTTCTTCGTCCCCTGCTATACACAGTACATCAGTAGGCTAGCCCCCCCCCCCACGCTACAGTACAGACGTTTGCTAGGCAACAGAACGTGATTGCACCTTTCTTACCAGGTGTTCATGTAAATTTGCATAGGCCTATTGTTAGCTAACCAGCTGAGTGTATTCCTTTGTGAAAATGAGTAACGCGGGCCGCCGCGTACTCATTTTCACAAAGCATTTGCATCCCCTCTTGAAAAGAGGGAACTTCGTAATAGTTGTCACCATCGCTCATTATTCACCGTAATTTAGCTTACATTTATGCTTGGAGGGAGCACTTAAAATATACAATAATCATTTTACTACCCGAC